AACTCAGATCTTGAAACAATCATCTGAAGTGATATCAGATACTGGCTTCTGTTTCTCTTGAAAGCAAGTTAAAACAACAATGATAAACTAAGGCAGGAGATGTGAGTTGTGGCAGTAGATTTTTGATTCAACATATGTCAACCTTATATTGCTTGAGACATCTGTGACAGACAAACAAATATTTATAGTTTTTTGATAGTTTGGATTCTTGGCTTGATTTAGCAGATAAGCTGTGAACCTTGACTTTGAAATCACATAAATGTCATGGTACCCGAACGAATCCTCGCATGACATTTCTTCGTCCGCATTTCTTCGTCTACAAATCTTCGTCGGTGCATTTATTTGTCCATCAATGCTTACTCTTGCATATATTTGCGTTGAAGAAGAAATGCGAGCCGATTTTCATATACCCTGATGCGAGACAAAGTAATGCGATACGAATAAATGCCCTGACGAAGATTTGCAGACGAAGAATTGCGATACGAAAAAATGCCATAAGAAGAATTGTCCTGGAATCCTTTGTTGGCCATCATATATTGACCTTGATAAGATAAACGCATCATTCGCGCAATATTTGTCGCACTTTGATACCAAATTATTGCTTCCAAATGCCGACGTAAAGAAAACCTTTATGTGACGTCATAGAAATAGCGGAGTTCCCAAAAAGTAAACAAAAATAAAAGTCTTATATCTCGAAAACGGTTGAATATTTTCCGGTAAAATTTGGTAGATGTTCATTTTCGCTCTTTGTGATTCACGCTACATCACTTTTATGCCAATTCATTAACTTTTTTGAAGGTGGGAGGGTCCCTTTAATCATAGATAACATGAATCCGATAACAAAATCCGAATCCAACCGATTCGTGCTTTCTATATATGATTTAATCTATGCATTTCCCTCTTACTGTTGAGAGGAATGGTATCTCACTATTCTGCCTGCATTTTCACGCAGCAAACCTTAACCCGCGACCTGGTGGGGGGGGGGGGCTATTTTTGCCCCCCCCCCTCCAGACTTTTCGATATATCTCCAGAACCGCTGCGCCGATCGTCACCAAACTTCCAGTACCCTCCCGGACATCAATTTTACACATTGTGACCAAAACTTTTTCCAAAGGCTATGATAGGTTGGCCGGAAATGACGTCAGAGTGACGTCATGTTCTGCCGTTTTCGACCCAAAAAAGGGTTTCCCGGGAAGAGCTGTCAGGCCTATAGCTTTGCAAATACAGAAAAATGATTAGACATAAAAGCTGCAGAATTGACAGGGCTACAAAACTGCTATCTCGGATTTTTTAAATTTTTGGATTTTGACCCCCAAAAATCAAAAAAATATTTTTTTTGGATAAAATAAACGAAAAATCCAAAAAGTTTTTTGAATTTCGCAAAAACCGGAATATATGTGATAGTCCTTACCACCTTCCATCCACATACCAAATTTGAGATTGATACCTCTTTTTTGGCGAAGTTATAGCGAAAAAACTGTTCAAAATTGATGACGTCAAATTTTCAAACTCAATTTTTAGCAATTCTAGACCCCGTAGCGCAAAACAAAGACCACCATTAGACTCCCCGTGACGAGCTGCATCGAATCAATACCCATGTTATGCAAAACTATCAACTTTAAAATTTGACCTTTTTTGGCCTGACCTTGACCTGACCTTGACCTGAACTTCACCAGAAAGTGACCTAAGCCGTACCTGATAGTCTTATAACGAACACCATTGAGTTGGAAATGAAAAATTGGCCATAAAACATGCATCACACAACCCTAGTAAAGTTGGGCTCATGTGACCTGACCTGTGACCCTTGGTGACCTGACCTGTGACCTGACCTGGTATTGTCAGTGACCTCTAATAGCAACATATCTACTAGGCAACCGACGCCCTATCGCTGATTCTCGACAAAATGCGTTTTCCTCGGTGTTATAGCGCATTCCCTAGAAGACCCGTGAACGGTGAAACATTTCATCTTTGACCTGACCTGTGACGTCATCGGTGACCCCGAGGTCAATGAAATTTGGTTTCCTTCGACAAATTTGACAGGCCTTTCGAACGCCGTTTGAATTTTGTGGATCCGTCCAGTAGTTTCGGAGATATGAGGGGGGGGGCAAAAAATAGCCCCCCCCCCACCAGGTCGCGTTATAAACAGACCCCACCAGGGCGCGGGTTAATCGTCCTTTTTTCGAATTTTATTCACAAAACGTTCACACCTTAAAGGGACCCTCCCACCTTAACATTAGATTTGAGTTGAGATAGCCAAAATGGGGTCCCTGGCTCACAATTACCGGTTTCGGCACTCACAACATCGAGAAATGCCTTAAATCGGAAATATTGAATTTCAAAATTGCAGCATTTTGATTCAGAGGGGCTAATGCATAGGAATACCCCTCTGAATGTGTGACGTCAGCGCAGATATCTAACGATTTTTAAATGTTTGACTAAAACGTTTTGTAGCACGCGGTGGTATATGCTGCTAAGCGCGCAACATATGCCTCACTTTCAAATAAAGTCACTAGGAACAGCAGAGATCCCAAAAAGTAAACAAAAGTAAAAGTCTAATATCTTGAAAACCGGTGAAGATTTTTCGATGAAATTTGGTAGATATTCGTTTTTGCTCTTGCTGAACCGAGCGACATCACTTTCATGTCAATTCATAAACTTTTTTGAAGGTGGGAGGGTCCCTTTAATCGTCTTTATAACAATGCTCTTCTTCCATTCTTGGGATTACCTTCCTCCCGTCAATTCGGTATGGACGCCTCTATGGCCGTCTCCCTCTCTCAGCGGTAGGGTGAGGACGCCCCTCTGTCCATCTCCCTCTCTCAGCGGTTGGGACGCCTCTCTGTCCGTCTAACTCCCTCAGCGGTTGGGACGCCCCTCTGTCCATCTCCCTCTCTCAGCGGTTGGGACGCCCCTCTGACAGTCTAACTCCCTCAGCGGTTGGGACGCCTCTCTGTCCGTCTAACTCCCTCAGCGGTTGGGACGCCTCTCTGTCCGTCTAACTCCCTCAGCGGTTGGGACGCCCCTCTGTCCGTCTAACTCCCTCAGTGGTAGGGACGCCTCTCTGTCCGTCTAACTCCCTCAGCGGTTGGGACGCCTCTCTGTCCGTCTAACTCCCTCAGCAGTTGGGACGCCCCTCTGTCCGTCTAACTCCCTCAGCGGTAGGGACGCCTCTCTGTCCGTCTAACTCCCTCAGCAGTTGGGACGCCCCTCTGTCCGTCTAACTCCCTCAGCGGTAGGGACGCCCCTCTGTCCGTCTAACTCCCTCAGTGGTATGGACGCCTCTCTGACCGTCTAACTCCCTCAGTGGTTCGGACGTCTCTCTGTCCGTCTAACTCCCTCAGCAGTTGGGACGCCCCTCTGTCCGTCTAACTCTCTCAGCGGTAGGGTAGGGACGTCCCTCTGTCCGTCTAACTCCCTCAGCGGTTGGGACGCCCCTCTGTCCGTCTAACTCCCTCAGTGGTAGGGACGCCTCTCTGTCCGTCTATCTCCCTCAGCGGTAGGGACGCCCCTCTGTCCGTCTAACTCCCTCAGTGGTATGGACGCCTCTCTGACCGTCTAACTCCCTCAGTGGTTCGGACGTCTCTCTGTCCGTCTAACTCCCTCAGCAGTTGGGACGCCCCTCTGTCCGTCTAACTCCCTCAGCGGTTGGGACGCCCCTCTGACCGTCTAACTCCCTCAGTGGTTCGGACGTCTCTCTGTCCGTCTAACTCCCTCAGCAGTTGGGACGCCCCTCTGACCGTCTAACTCCCTCAGCGGTTGGGACGCCCCTCTGTCCGTCTCCCTCTCTCAGCGGTAGGGTAGGGACGCCCCTCTGACCGTCTCCCTCAGTCAGTGGTTGGGACGCCCCTCTGTTCGTCTAACTCCCTCAGCGGTTGGGACGCGCCCCTCTGACCGTCTAACTCCGTTCCAGAGCCCGTCTCTCCCGCGGCGGCCCGGGACACGGCCGCGTCCGGCGCAGTCACCACAGGTCAACAGCCCGCCTCTCCGGACCCGTGCGTGACGTGACGTGACGGTACCGGCGTCACGATCGGCCGTCACGCCAGCGGCCGCGTCCGGCGCCGGCCGATCGCGCTAAGTGTCTGTGTTTGGCGAGCTGCGGCGGCGCCCGTGCGTCAGTGCCGCGCGGTCTCCATCATCGTGTCACACTGTTCAGTGTACGCATCAATGTGTGGACCGAGAGGAAACAGGGTATTTACAGGCGGATCGGCACCTGACATGGATTGTACTGGCTGTTTTATGTTTTATGTTTTATCCCCATAGCGCGCGTTCCATCAGGTGTCAGGGTTACCGGGCACATCTCGTTTGTTGTCGACAACGCATTCCGCGGCAGCATTCGCCACAATTGATTGGAGTTCAACCGCTCGATGCTGCGGCCCGCAGTGTTGAAATCGACGTTAAAATTAGAACGATGATGTAAGGCATAAGAATATATGAATGTCGACCCATGAGTCAGCCAAAAGCCCGTGAGTGGCACGCGTAATATGCTACCGCAGCGAACAAGTGAAGAACGTAGCTATGTGCGACAATAAAGTCCAAAGGAACGACAGGAGCGTGACAGCGATATCGGGACAGGACCGAGCGACGAGTGGTCAGGAACTCACGGGACGGGTTACATGGCACGCATCCGTTTCATGGGTCATGCCGCATTCTTCAGGTGACACACAACGCGCGTCTTTGGTGTACGACGGTCAAAAAGTGTAAAAGCGGCGACCCTCGGGGTACCGCGACGTGAAATGGGACAACAGGAGCATCGCCACGACGTGTTACGTACGAGCGCCCGCCGGGACTGGGCCCCCGTCATGGAGCGCTCCCGTTCGAGTCAGCCCCATCGGTGCCGAGCCGGCAGTGGCCGCGGGTACTCAGTGAGATCTGCGCTGCTCCGTAAGATACCCGGTGAGTGTGGGACGACTCCCTCTTCCCCTCCGCTGAGCGGCACACCTCATCCGCCCACACGCCACAGAGCGCCGGACGACCGCCCGCCGCGCCGCACGGAGAGAAATATATCAGTGTCCGGCAAAACGCCTGAGTATGTATTACATGTACAGGATGTCTACAAATATGCGAGCGACATGACACCGGACGCCTGCCGACCGAGGGCAGGAGACGAACATAAAACAGCCAGCGTAATAACGCAATCACATCGGAAATGGGTGCCCCGCGGGGGGCGAATACAGTCATATATGTAGAATTAGCGCGCGGTGTCGGCGACCTGACCTGACCTGGGGGCGGCGCCGACGGTACAGGACTTAGGCCGCCTTCAGGGCCGGGCTGAGATCAGAGAAGAAGACGTGGGCCAGCGCGTCATCGGCGCTGATTCGCAGCGAGGGGTTACAGACCAGCAGCCGCTGAAACGGGCCAGAGGTCGGCGGTCAAGTCATGGGTCCCACACAACAGATAACGCACAGCAGGTCACGGGTCATATACCTACATCAGGCCACTGTCACATACAGAAAGGTCACTGGTAAAATGTAAATCACAGATCACATGCAGGTCAAGAGTTGCACAGCAGGCCACAGCGGTCGCTAAAAAACAGGCAGTATTTCAGGGCAGGCACCATAAAAGGCAGCATAAACTACAGACAATGAGAGGGGTCTTTCCAGGCACAGGAGGGCAATATTGTGCGTTGAAGGCACTGGTCTGAGCGCTGCTCACTCTGCCCGGGAGTTGAGACATGGCCGAGGGGCGGGTCAAAGCCCCAACGATTACTGGGTCAGCGGCCAGCGGGGAGACAGAAAACAGACCGGCCGGCGGCCCTGCCGCGCCCAAAGGTCAGACACAGACACACGCGCTAGAAGAAACCCAACTCGAGCGGACCGAGTCTGCGGCCGAGTACAAGCAGCTGCTGAAACTAGGCAAAGTTTGCGCCGACCACTCCCCCGAGACGGGCTAAGACACGCCGGCACTAACAGTATACGACACTCCAATTACTTCGGTCGGACCGGCTGCAAAAACTCGTTACCAAAACGTGACAACAACGCCCCACAAAGTGGGTTAAAACAAAAGTAGCTAAAACGATGGCAGAGTTACGGCATTTTCGATAGAAATTAGTTCGTTATAGCGTCAACACGTTGATAACTCTTCAGGGAACAGTTATACACATCGCTCTCCTTTCATGTGTCCCCCATCTCCTGTAACACGGTGGTGGCTGGTCGCACCTCCCCACTGACGGCCACTCCACGGGCGAAGAGCCACTGACGAGCTGAACCGGTACCCCGTTACAGCCGTGTTGTCGCGTGCTGGAATCCCCCGAGTCATCATCAGGGATTCCGAGAGACCGCTTTTAGCCCACCGCAGTGAAATGGTCCGGCGTCAAAAACAAATGAGGCGGTGCGCTAACGCATCGGGCGCATTTATTTGAAATTATGAGGAGCAGGAAAATAACACTGTCACCTGCCCAGGAAAGGAGATTTAACGACCACAGACGCTACCTGAGAATACTACGATATTGATAAGCGGAACGTAGAGAACGGGCAAGCATGCGTCGAATAAACGCAATGACTATAAGTGATTGGCGTGATTTTAATGCCCAGGGTTATTTTAGAATTTATTAGCATTATCTTCAATTATAAATCAACGTTCTTGTTACTTTTATGTCGATAGGTATCAAATGCAATTAGCCATGCTTTATTAAGTCCTTAAAATGCTGACTAATATGACAAAAGGCACCAATACAACTAGCGCATGCACTTCGTTCCATCCCTCCAACAAAAGAGCCAAACCTTCCTAAAAAAAAAAAAAAACTATATGCCTGTAGCCGACCACCCAGAGAAAGAGCCGCACCCATTTGATTGGAACGAGCGATTTTCATCAAGGAAGGCGCTTATATTTTCTTACGAGCTTAACTTCCTTTTAATGGAAGAACCGACGAAGTTGATGCCAGCTTAACACAGCTTATTACACAAGTCCCGGCCTCCTTCGTCCGATATCGAAATCCGCTTCGTCGGGAGAATTGATAAGTCAAACTTAAAATTGCCCATATTGATGGAGACATTCCGTATTATTCACCGATTTCAACTGGCTGCGGAACTAGCTCACGTAAACCATCTCCGACAGTAATCTCGTAAATAGAATGCCGGATCTCGAGTCCACTAGATTATCAGCATGGGCAATCCCATGATTTTCCGGCTGAGCTGAGGGGCAGGATATTGCACATATTCAATCACCATTTCCATTACCAATGAGTGTTGTAAGGTCACCCGATTACACCACCGCGCCGGCGCCGGCGCTGGTCCGTACCTGGAGCAGGTCGCGCGCCTTGCTGTTCAGCTTGGGCACCACCTGCGAGAGCGGCATGGTGGGCTGGTAGAGCGGGAACGGCTTGTACTCGGGCAGCGCCGTCAGACCCGGCCACGTTTCCTCGGTAGGCGTGCCCAGCAGCTTGAAGATCCGCTTCAGCTGGTCGTCCACGTCCGCGCCCGGGAACAGCGGACGGCCCGCGTTCGCCAGCTCTGAGGGGTGACAGTGATGTCATGGTAATGTCATTACTAAGGCCTAAAAACGCGACCAGCCTATGATCACCAGGTATATGGGACCACAGGGATGTCATAATGACGTCAACAGTAATAACAAAAAAGTAACATACTTAGTCAGCATAACCGAGCTAATGCGCGTTCTCACGGATTCCCCGTCACATCCCCGCACCTCCCATCCGCCAAACCCAGCACATTGTCCCAGAAATCAGTCCTGACCAGCCAGCGCCGAACGCAGCGAGCCCTACCGCCCCAGAAGGCGTTCCTGAATCCTGACTCCTGACCAGCGCGGGACGGGGCTCACCGGCGAATATGCAGCCGGCCGACCACATGTCGATACTAGTGGAGTACAGTTTGGTCCCCGCCCGGTGCAGTATCCCCTACCAACCCCTCCCGCCCCAGACAGCATCCCTGACCAGCGTTCCCGCTCACCGGCGAATATGCAACCAGCCGACCACATGTCGATGCTGGTCGAGTAGAGTTTGGCTCCGAACAGCACGTCGGGCGGCCGGTACCAGAGCGTCACCACCTCTGCCGAGTAACACTTGACCGGGATGCCGAACGCGCGCGCCAGGCCGAAATCGGCCAGCTTCAGCTCACCGTTCTGTGCCGAGAGGAGGGGGAGGGTGAGACGGGCTGGGAGCCGGGCGGGTGGCCGCAATGCGGAGCGAAAAAGGTGATAGATTTATCAAACACGTTGAGGCATATGACACATGAACTGAACGAAACGACAATGGGAGCAATACAACTGTACGGGTGAAGCACTGGCCAGTTCCGCAAATTCCCCCCCCCCATCCCCCTCTCCTAAATTGAAGTATTAGGAGCGGTCCTTTATTACCTAGTTCTGTATAGAAGCATCACTGTCTTTTCGCTACGTAACGCAATAACAACAACGCATCAAATATACGAACCAAATCGAGTTCACAAATTTTCTTACTTAGGTGACGTCAGAATGAGTTCCGACATGTAAATGCGGATACAACATAAATAACTGCCGAAAAAGGCACTCAGTTAGTGTTCAGATTCTCATTTTCCGCGAATGCCAGCCATTTATATTCCATAGGCCCCACTAAATCAGCCAAAATCCCAATCAGCCGATCCTCCTCCGCTAATATCGGCTCCTCCGGATACACACACTACACAGGTGTCCGACGCGCTACTCGCATATTCATGAGCCGAACGCTACCGGCCCCGAAATGAGCCGGTTGTGTGTAAACAGCAGATGTTCATCTAATAGACCGCACCGAGCCCTCAGCCGGCGGGCCGCGCCGGGACCTCAGAGACCCACGGCCGGCCGGGGAGGGGCCGAGGGCGTCCGGCCGGGCCATAGCGGTGTTTTCCATCGTACCGTGTCACGGCGACAAAGAGATCGATCTCACAGAGGACGGGCACGATCAGTGGCATCGCCGGCCGCCTGCTGCCGACAGCAGAACAGGGAGTCGAGAGGTGGGGAGGGGAGGGAGAGGGAGAGAGGGAGGGAGGGGAGGATAGGAGAGGGAGAGGGAGGGAGAGAGGGATATGAAGGGGGAGGGAGAGGGAGAGGA